AGCCCAGGAGTAATACTCTTTTAATTATATTCCCTTTGAGATATATTTTATCTGGAAAATATGTTCTGCTTTTAATAATTGTCTAATTTATTTAGGTACACCATTAATTTGTGTAGAGTTTATTTGTTAGGTTCTTTTGTTTTGTCTTTTTTTGTTTAAATCCACATATCTTTTTATAAAGTGACATTTTATTGGAATGTAGATGGTGAAAATATACACAAATGATATCCCTGTGTAGGTTGATGATTTCTGTACTGATAATTTATGATGGGGAGGAAACTGCAAGTGCTTCTCTTTCTCAGGTTATAAATGGAACATTAATTGCACATGAGATTTGACTATTCTCTTCTTTATGTAGGGCACAAAGAAATTTTCTGTTGTAGAATCTAAGTAATTGGGTAGGAAAAAACTTCATTTGATAGGGATAACCTACTTGTTGGGGATAAAGTCTATTATAATTGGATACTTCATCCTTACCTAAAATCTTAGATACAGGCAAAAACCAGAATTTCTCAAATTGTGGCTAAATGTTTGCTAACTCAGAATCGCCTAGAATGCCTTTTAACAATGGATATGATTAGGGGTCATCTCTAATCTCTGCCATAGAATCCCTCTGGTGAGGCAGAGAAGGCTATATTTTAAAAACAGTTCCAGGTAACCCTTGTGCCCACAAAAACCCAAGAACTACTAAAGACTTGAAGTAGGCTTTTATCGGAGTTAAACCCATTTGAAAATCTGGCTCCGATAAATGTCCATGATTCCAGAATTCATTTTTTGAAGAGCTGTAAATTATGTCTAAAATCTTCCAATATTATAATGCCCTTTCTATTGGCTTTATTAATTATGTCTACATTGTCATAACTTCTCACGACCTTTATTTGAGTCCTGCATTTTGACCCGCCCACCCACCATTTTTTCCATCCCTTTGTCTAGAGTCTAGTTATTTTTTCCAGATTCTAGACTTTTCTTAATCTCTCCTATACTAAAACCATGTATATGGTCACTGACCCATTTCTTCAAATTCTTGTTAGATGAAAACATGTAATTTGATAAATTTATTTTTCCCAAGGAGTTAATTAAACTAATGACATTTTCCCTAGGTACAATTAATGTGGTAACTCTAGGAACTACAGCAGGTCTGAAGAGTCAATCCCACTGTCATGGTTCTGGTGAGTTACATGGCTACATGTTCATCAGTAATCCCAATCAAGCACCTTCTATAAGCTACACACCTGCTGAGTTTCAAGAAGGAATATGGTATACTTAGTTTAAAGAAACTTCATTCTAAGGAGCAAAACAATAATGGAAAAAATCAGAGTACACTTAAGGAACCATCATAATGTAAAGAACACATGTGTCATACCAAGCTCCATCACTTTCTTTCTTGTTGTGTCACAATTAGCAAGATATAGAATCTCTACAGGACTCACTAATGAGGATAATAAATGCCTATTATGGATGTAATAACCTTTTGAGGCTACTACACAGATAAATGAGATAATTTTGCTGATAAGTACTATAATAGAAATTTGTGCAAAATGCTTGAGGTTTCAGTGGGTAAAATACCCAATTATGTCTTAAGATATGGTGGAGAATGATCTAGGACAGGTTTTACCAAGGTAGCTGGGCCAGATTCCAATACTGCTGTAGAAAGCATGTAAACAGTCTGGTAGTGTAGGATGAAAGCAATTGTATCAAGCCCTGGGGAGCCACAGAAACCAAAGCAAGATATATAATTAAACAAACCCATGAGAGCTGCATGTCCTCTCTAGCTTTGGTGGATCTCCTTTAAAAAGGCCTGCAACTTGGTCAATGTCTTACATATACTATATTGGATTAAATTGAATGAAACTGGATTTACTTAAGTGGAATAAATGAATAGATTTAATATATTACCTCTAGCCTGCCTAGAAATTTGAGAGGTTTTGTCTCTGTGTGTGTGTGTGTGTGTGTGTGTTTGTGTGTGTGTTAACCTGTTCAGGGCTATTTACTATCTGTGTTTTTATAAAGATCTATAGTGCCAGAGCATACACAGAGTTCAGAAACAGAGTCCATGTCATCCATGTTCCCATTGGACAAAATCCAAAAATGTACAGTTCCTGGTGAAGTGAAGAGGTATGGGGGTACATACTAATTTTTCAGTGGCTCCCACACAGTACACATGTTAGTGAGTAGCAAAGGAAGGGCTTCAGGGGCTCCAGATTAAGGCAATTTTTAGAATTCTTCTTATCGGAGGTAAATATATAATCAATGTGAGTTCAGTAGCAACAATGGAAAAAAAACCCCTCAATTAGTTAATGTTTTCTGTAAATACTCATATGTGGTAGGAAAGTTATCTCAGTTCCAGTCTAACAAATCAGGTCATTAATGGAAAATCAACATAGTTATAAATAGAAGAATAATAAAGTGAATTTTTTTTTAAGCTTGGGAAGTATTGAACTTATTTGATATCCATCAGGAAGGAGCTTGTGTAAAGGGATGGATTGAAGATTTTAGTGGGGAGCAATGAATCTTGAGTGATGGCAAGATCAATAATTAGAATTGGAATGAGCCAGCCTTCCATGACTTAATCATTTTCTCTAAGACTATACTACAGTTAGATAATACAAGTTTAGGGAGACTCATAGCTATGGATTAGAGTAGGTAAAGAAAGAGGGGGAGAAACTGTTTTACATCTTCATAAAAAATGGCAGATTAATAATTTTAAAAAGTCAAGTAGCCGCTTAAGGTGGCACTATTTTGTGGATGATAACTTTCCAAATAGAATAGAATTGTTTGGATCACCAGTATGAGGTTCAGAGCACAAAGATTAAAGTACGTTTTCTGTTTGTCACAAAAAGCTTATTAATACATGTACATGCAAATGTGGTGTTCAGAAAATTTGATTTTATCCATAGAATTTTAACAGGTTTCTAGAAATTTTCTAAGTATTTTGACCATAAAACTTACTTGGCAGCTTCTTCTTTGTCCTTTTCACCATCTTCATGTCTTCCTCTAAAGACTCCTACTGCTTCACAGAGAAAAAAATATAGTTTCACTTATATCCACTATATTCAGTGAGTCAATTTTCCCTAAAGTAAAAGAATGAATGGCAATAATAATAACAACACAATACTTTTAACCATGTATTTCAATGAAACCCAAATTATCATTAAGATGAACAGGACACTCCAGTGAGTGTTCAGGCCAATAGTATGAGCTAGGCCCACAGCTTTCAGGCTCCAGAATTCAGCTCAACTAGGACATCTCTGAATTTCATTAGGTCATGGGAATGTGTTTATGTGGATGGGGAAGGAATGCACTTTCATTTTAAACTGATTCTATGTTAAATTTGTGTCTTTTGTCAGTCTAAATATAATTTATACCATGACAAAAAGGAGGGTGCTCTCATTTTTTACTCCATGTGTTCTCCATATTTGATTCCTGAACCAGCATCACCTAGGAACTTGCTAGAAATTCAAATTTGGACTTCACCCTAGAGCTACTGAATTAGAAACTCTGACAGTATAGTCCATCAATCTGTATTTTAATGAACTCTTTAGGTGATCTTGTTGCACAATAAGGTTTGAGAATTAGTGTTCTAGGCAAATAGAATCCAGATCTAGGAAAAGAACTAGTATGTGGTATCAAAGGAAGATAGCATTAGATACTTAAAAAGAAAACTTGCAAAAGCCTGCATACTAGATTTCTTTTAGGAAAGCTTACTTTAAATACATGAAAGTAACTTACTCCTTTTTAGCCCTACTCAATTACACTCCACTACATTTTCTATACAAAAATCAATACAGTGCTATGTTACTTTAAGAATACTAGATCTCTTAATTGAAATGTAATATTTTACACATTTTCTTGTTAGTATTTCTTTACAGCAACCACTCTGAAAAACTGATGAGCATTTTTAAACACAAAAATACATTCACTTTGGGGCTTCCCTGGCACAAAGTTGAAAATTGTTTCACATTAAAAAGAAATATTCATTAATTTATGTCATCTATAATAAGTGATTTTATCATTAACAATCCTAATTTATCTAAAAATTTTATTATTAGGTATTTGTTTTTCTTTACTAACTTTACCATGCATTCAACCATGTCTGTCAAACTATTCATTAGTTTAGAGTTATAATTTTGTACACTGAAAAATTAATAAAAAGTGAGAAGTTGTTTTACAAGATGATGTAATATCCACAGTGTAAGAAATGTATTTTATTTTTATAATGTTACTCAGAGACATATAATAAGTCAAAGATAAGAACTATTAAATGAGAACATTTAAAATAGGTAGGTGAAAAAAGAAATGGCTATCAATTCTGCAGTCAGAAAAAAGCTATTTTATTTTTTAAGTCTTTTGGCACCAACCCTAGATTTCAGATATTGAGAAAAATTCCACATTTTGATAAAACTCATTTTTTGGGAAAACTTTATGGAAATCTCAGCATGCTTAAAACATTAGAACCACTCTAAAACTGTTCTTTCACTTTGTTATTGCTTTAAGAAATAACTTCCTAATCAACTGTTGCATGTTGGTATACAGAGTGCATCTCACTGACTACAGTGAAGCGTATAACACTATCCCTCACATTGATAAATACTAAATGAGTAGTTACATAAATAAGCTTGCATTTATCCAGCAATCCTCAGTGGAGCTCTATTTAAATATCTGGCACAGATTTTCTCAAACTTTTAGGCTGCTGTATTTTTAGAGTAGAATACAAATGAGTTTCAGAAGAACATAAAGTATCTAAAATTGTTCCCTACTGCAAAAAAGTTCAAATATTTATTTGTAAAGTTTCTCTTTGATCACTTATCTGCTATTTTCAATTATCATGCATTCTGCTTCTGATATAGTGTTAAAGTGGTATTACATTGTTACCAAATCTAGTTTTTAGGTAATTTTTCAGTCCATATATATCTCATCAAAATCATAAATTTGCTTTATTTGTAGGATTAAAAAATATCTTTGGGCATGTTCAGTGTGTAATGGTTGTACATTTGTTTTAGGTCTCCTGTTCTGGAAAAGCCTTGCTATCTGAATTCCACATTGTCTTGGACTACTTGGTATGTGTATGTGCATAATAACCTAATGGATTGTTCCTGCTCGAATTGTAATATACTTGTCTGACTAGTTAACTGGTTAAAGGGAGTTGATAATGAGATAAAGGCTGAAGTTTCAAACCACCTGTCAACCAATTACTTTTGTAAGAAAGAGAATCCAGGGCCCATACTCTTGTTTCAGAGACTACCACATCACAAATGCAAACTGTTGCACATGAGTAAAACTTATGAGCTTAAGAATGGCTCAACAGGAACACAAAAACAAAAATAGAAAAATAACCAAAAGAAACCTCCAAACAGGAGGCAGTTACATCTCCATTCAAAAATTACAGTTATAGCACATATGTATGTATGTGTATATGTATGTGTATGTGTATGTGTATATATATGTATGAAAATTATCTTTGGAGTGTTGATGATGAAAGTACATTAAAATAAAATAAATATGTAGATCAGGGGTAAATTAACAACCTCTGAATTTGTTTGTTTGACAATGGTTTCTTCATTTGCCTCCAGTCCCCATCTCCACTGTCCAAGACCTCATTTTACTCATATGCAGCATTGCTGTATCTTCTTGTCTGCTCACTCACCTCTAGTTTTCTCCCTTTTTATTACATACTATCCAACTTTCTGTAGATCATTACTAATCTTATAATTTCTTTGTTTAAAACAAACAAAAAATGGGGATAAAAGTGGGTGCTTTTATGGTGTAAGGAAAAAAACATGTCATTTTTATAACAAACTGTAGTCATATCTCTCAAGACTACTACATGTTCTTTGTGCTCAAGGTTTTGTTGTCATATTTGTCTACCCATGGCCTCATGAGTCTTACTTCAGTTGGTAATCAGGTATTGATTGGCACCAGCCACATCCAGAGACATCATGTGCTGTTTTATTGCCAATCTCTACTGGGTTGAATAGTGTGTCCCTCTTCCCCTGTCTACCCAGAACCTCAGAATGTGACCTCATTTGGAAATAAATCCTTTGCAGACAGTTAGTTAAGATTAGTGATACTGAACTAGGGTGAAGACAAGACACACATAAAGGGGAAAAGGCTATGTGACAGCAGAGGCAGTCACTGGAGTGATACTCTCACTGTAACCCTTAAACACTAGCCTGGTTTTATATGTATAATTTTGTCATTTCAAGAAATATTATAGGAATGGAATCTTACCATATGTGGCAATAGAGGTAAGTTTTCTGTGTCCTGCATAATTACCTTGAGATCCATCAAAGTTTTTCTGTGTATCAATAGTTAATTCTTTTTTGTTGTTGAGGAACATCCCGTGGTATGGATGTAGCACAGATTGCTTAATCATTCAGTTTTTGAGAGATGGGTTGTTTCCAGTTTTGGGCTATTACAAATTGAACTATTATGAACAATTGTGGACAGATATTTGTGTGAACATAAAGCTTCATTTTCCTGGAATAAATGTGTGTAGTTGCTGAGTCATATGGAAGTTGCTTGCTTATTTATTTATATTTTTTAAGAAATTGTCAAAATAATTCCAAAGTGACTGTACCATTTTAATGTTCCACCAGCAATATTTGACAGATTCAGTTTTTCCATGTCCTTGTCAGAATTTTTTACACACACACACACACACACACACACACACACACGTTTGTGTTTTTTAATAATATTTATTTCTTTTTAATTTTAGCTATTCTAAATAACTGAATGTGTCATGATACCTCATTGTGGTCTTAATTTGCATTTCCATAGTGGCTAGAGATGTTGAACATATTTTCATAAGCTTATTTTTTATCTACATATTCTCTTTAGTGAAATGTCTATTCATGTCATTTCCCCATTTTCTAATTGGATTCTTTTTTTAATGTTGAGTTTCTAGAGATCTTGATATGATGTAAATACAGGTGTTTTGTCAGATTTGTGATTGGCAAATATTTTCTCTGTCTAGAGCTTGTATTTTTATCCTATTAGCATGATCTTTTGTAGAACAAAATTTTAAAATGTTTTATGAAGTCCAACTTATCACATTTTTTCTTTTATGTTTGTACTTTTGGTTTTACATCTAAGAACACTTTAGCTAGCCCTAGTTCCCCAAAAGCCATAGGTTCTTCTGTTAAGTTTTATTCTAAAAAAAATAGTTATAATTTTACATTTTAATCTATGATTCATTTTGAGTTATTTTTTGTATATGGTGTAAGGTTGAGTTACAGGTCCATGTTTTTTCCTATAGATGTCCAAGTGTTCCAGCACTTATTAAATAAACTTTCTCTCCATCGCATTGCTTTTTCTCTTTTGTCAAATATCAGTTGCCAATACTTGTATGGGTCTATTTCTGAATTCTTTATTTTGCTTCATTGATCTGTATATTAATTTCTCCACCAATACCTAACAGTCTCGATTAGTATATAAAATTCTTGAAATTCGGTGGAGTGGTTCCTTCCATTTTTTTCTTCTTTTTTGGATTGTTTTAACTATTTATGTTTCTTTATTTTTCCACATATATTTTAGAATGATTTTCCTTATATCTTCTAAAAAATGTGGTAGGATCTTGGTAAGAATTGTGTTACATCTATATATAAATTAATGGGGAACTGACATCTTTACTATGTTGAATATTCCAGTTGAGAGATATTGCATTTATTTATTTAAATCTTTTTCAATTATTTTTTTGGCAGTCTTTTGTAGTCTCAATACATAACTCCTCTACAAATTTTGTTAGACTTGTAGCTAAATATTCATTAGCAACTGTAAATGGTATTGTTTTTAAATTTCTGTTTCCATGTGTTTACCATTAATATATTTGTGTAGCAATGTAATAGATTTTTGTATGTTGATCATTTATCTTGTGACCTTGTTGAACTCACATATGAGTCATAGGTCTTTTTGTGTAAAATACTGAGCATTTTCTACATAGACCATAAGGTCTCTTGGAAACAAGAACCATTTTATAGCTAACTTTTAGATCTGCATGATGTTTGTTTCCATTGCTTGCCTTATAGCACTGTTTATAATTTTAAGTACTGTGTTGAAGAGCAGTGGTGAGAGTGAATTTTCTTGTCTTGGTCCCAATCTTACAGGGAAAACAATTAGTATTTTACTATATTAGTATTTTATCACATTAGCTGTAAATTTTTTTGAGTATCCTTTATCAAGTTGAGAAAGTTATTCCTCTATTTCTAGATTACAGAGAGTTTTTCTTATAAATGAGTATTGAATTTTGGCAATTTCTTTTTTTCACATTAATTGATATAATCATTAGATTCTCTTTTCCTTTAACCTGTGAAATGGTGGAGTATATTGATTGATTTTCAAGTGCTGAACCAGCTTTGCTTCCCTAGAATAAACCACACTCAGTCATGGTGTGTAATTCTTCTTATATATTGAAAAAGCTTATATTTAATATATTCATTTATATTTTATAAGCATTTTTGCATTTATATTCATGAATAATATTGGTAGTTTGTATTTCCTTGTCTAGTTTTGTATGAAAATAATATTGGCTTCATAGAATGAGTTGGTAGAGAATGCAAAGAACTTATGTTAATCTTTGCATATTTGGTAAAAATCCTCATAAGTATTTTTGAGAGGTTTTTAATTATAAATTTAATTTCTTAATGGTTATAGGTTTTTGAAATAATCTGTTTCATCTTAGTTGAATTTTAGTCATGTAATTTTCCAGGAATTTTTCTACTTTTTCTCATTTGTCAAATGTATGTGTTTAGAGTTATTAAATAGTAATCCCATTTTATCATTTTGATGCCTACACTGTCTATAACAATGTCTCTTGCATCATTCCTGTCGTTAGCAACTTGTATTTTATCTTTCTGCTTTTTTCTTTGTCAGTCTTTCTAGAGGTATGTAAATTTTATTATTTTTTCTAAAGAACCAACTTTTGTTTCCATGATTTTCTCTTTTTCAGTTTTCAATTTTATTGTTTTGTGCTCTTCATTATTTATTTCTTTTTGTCTGCTTGGAGCTTATTTTGCTCTTGTTCTAATTGCTCACAATGGAAGCTTATACATCAATTTGAGACCTGTCCTTTTTCCTAATGTAAACATTTAATGCTATAAATTTTACTCTCAGTACTTGTTCAGCTGTGCCTCACAAATTTCTTGTTTATTTTTATTCAGTCTGACCTATGAATTGTTTAGATGTATATGTTTAGTTTCTAAGTATTGGAGATTTTACTGTTATTTTTCTATTATTGATTTATACTTTGTATTCTAGTCAGATACCATACTCTCTATAATTTCAATTATTTCAAACTTTTGTAGTTTTTTTTTAAAACCCCAAATATGGTCTATTTTGCTATATGTTCCACAGACACTTAAATGAATATTTTTGGTTGGAATGTTCTATATATGTTGATTAGGTAATTTTGTTTGATGGTGTTAATGAGTTCTTCTTTTGCTTTTTGTTCTATTAATAGGTGAAACGGTGTGTTGTGATCTCCAAACATAATTTTGGATATGTCAGTTCTACCAGTTTTTGCTTCACGTATTTTAGAGCTCCATTATTTAATATATACACACTTAGGATTGCTATGTCATGACTGTTTTATCATTATTTAATATCCCACTCTGTCATTGGCAAATTTCTTTGCTATGAAGTCTGTTTTACCTGATATTAACATAACCATTTCTGCTTATTTGGTCTAATGTTTGTATGATATATATTTTTAAAAATTTTTATCTATGTATATAATTATATTTGAACTGAGTTTCTTGTAGGGCAGTATAGTTTAGTGATTTTTATTATTTTTTTAATTCATTCTGCTAATCTTAGCTAATTGATGTGTTTAGAAATTTTCATTTAATATTAATATTGATATGTTGACACTTAAGTCTTTCATTTAACTTCAGCTTTCTCTTTGTTCTGTTTTTTTATTATTATTTTTATTTACTTCTACTCTTGTATGGGTTACTTGAGCAATATTAAGAGTTCCATTTTGGTTTATCTATAGTGCTTTCAAGTGCATCATTTCACATAGATTTATTTAATGATTGTTGTAAGAATTGCTATGCACAAA